TTGGCTCTGAAAGGACCAGCCCTAGACATAGCAAGGAACAGCTTGTGTATTTCATGTCTTTTCAGTGAGCATAATTGCCTAATTCTCTCCTGGAATAGGAGGTGGTATTAACCACTTAAGGGCTATCTCTTGAAACATCAAGATTGCCTGGTTTGTATAAATGCCACCACTCTCTACTCAGGGAGCACAGAGACACCTGAAGAAATAACATCTGATTCAATGATAAAGGGATGGAAAAATATTAATGATAGACATATTAACAATTCATATCTATCCATGCTGCACAGCACACCTATAAGCCCACAACTATGGGATGTAGGTTAAGCTGAGAAAGAGAGAGAAAAGGAGAGGTTGGCTCAAGATTCTCCATCAGGTTTCTAGCCTGGATGGGAATTTGAACTAGAGTCTCTGGTCTTGGCCTGCTGTTCTGATCTTTACCATTTCATCATACTGGTTCTCAAGGAGATTCTTCTAAGGCTTTGGAGTGAGCACTGTTATTTTAATCTGTAATTGCAGATACTAAAATTGCTGCCCATTGGTGCAGTATACATCAACTAGAATGATCTCTTAGACTTAAAAACACTCTTCTGCTCAGTGCTTTGCCCCTGCTTCAGTAACATAACTCTGCATTACCGTACTATTTGTGGGGCTGCCTTTGGTATACACTGACAAGGCATGAAATAAATGGTATTCAAAATGGTTGGTATTTAAAGTTGTATATCTGACTTCCTTCGCCTGTAAGGAAGCAAATGCTTTAAAAACATGCGAATAACTATCTCTACATCAACTGATCTTTGATTTTTTTTTGAAGGAATCTTCAGAGCATACTTTGATTCATTCTCAGTTATATTTCTTAAGTAACATGTGGAATTGTAGCAGCTAAGCTTGACTTCTAGCCCAGAGATGGCTTCTCCCATGCCAGCAAATGTGAATGTGGTTTCATTGAAGGTACAGATGCATTCACATTTGTACCAACATGAAAATCCACATAGGTCATCCTCATAAAGGCATGGAAAGTTGAGAATGAATGGTGAAAGTAGCCAGCAAACAAATATAACTTAAAGCTATGTTCATCGTCACAGTAACAATCATCAAAAGTTGTTGAGGAAGAAAGGAAGGAGCTTGAGACCAAAGTAAAAAAAGTGGGTATCTCAACAACATGGAGATGGTAGCCTTCCATATTCTACATATTAGTAATGGGTAAAATAACAAATGAGATGTCAGGAAGAGACAGGCCATGGTAAAAAATAGTCTTGTGTGGCACCTTAAAGCCTTACTAAATTTCCTGTAGAATAATACGCAGTTAATAAAGTAGGTAGTCCACTTCAATACATGGGTAGAGTATTTTTGCAGTTGGGTGGGAGAAGATAGTAAAAGGAGATTAGAGAGAGGTCAAAGGTAGGAAGTATAGGCAGGAATACTGACCTATAGATAATGGCCATTCACAAAACAGATGTTGGTGTGACAAAGACATGCTTGTATTAATGAGTTAATTAACGTATGTATTGTGATGATGTGATGGATTTCTGTTTCATATCTGGCGCGTTCTAATAATTTTCAGAGGATTAACTGTATTAATTTGTTGCAGTCAAAATAAAAAATAGAGGAGGAGAAGGAAAAGTAAACAGAAGAAAGGATAGCTGAAGATGGGAGGTTAAAAGTCTGTCTGGTTTGCTGTTCAAGCACTTCTCGGCTGGATGACATCCAGATCCCTTCCGTAATGCTTGTTTTGGCAGCCCTGTAGATGTGCATCTAGCTGTTCTCAAGTGTAGACATGTTAAGTCTGGGCTGTTAAAGTGTATGTGTGTGTTTGTAAAACAGTAAGCTCAGAAGTGTATCACTAGTGTTTTACGTAAGTACTAGAAAGCACCATAAATGTTGGCTTGACCTGCTGTACTTTGTTCCGTTTCATTTTTATGATACTGATGTATGAGAAGTCATCTGCAAATCTGATTCAAATTATAGGGCTGAGTTATTGCTCACTGAGCTTTGGGACCAAAGAATGCTCTGAGAAGACAGAAAAGTCTATCAATATAAATGACTTAGGTTTTTAATGCCTTTTTAAATAGTTACTTTTAAAATTATACTGATAGATGGCCTTGAGATGGGCCACTGTGTCCAAAATATTTTACAATTAGTTCAGATTTGGCTTTCTGCAACCAGTTGGGACTGCAATTCTTTAGTAGCATGCTACAGTCTCAACAAATTTGGAAGTTGCCAGATTGGGAAAGGAACATAGAGCACATCTTTTTGTATGCAAGCTCTGGATTAGCAGCAATCCGACTTTAGCCTTTGCAAATGTTGTTGATTATCTGAGGACTCTTTAGAAGTGAAATTAAAAGATGTAACTTACATTTCACATGAAGACTTGGAAAAAATGCAAATATCAGATGGGATGGGATGGAGATAAAGGTAGGATATTAATTGTATACTAACAATATGTGATTTACTGTAGGAATGCTGGCATGAATTGAATATAGACTTCTCTTAATGCAAATGCTAATTTCATACTTCACTCTGAATTGCTTCAGTGGAAGAAAAGGAAAAATCCCCCCATAGCTGTGTTTATCCTAATTATTATCACCTCTCCAACATCTACTGTTTTGAAATGTCCTATACTTTTTCCCTACTTGCTAATTCTTCAGACATCCTCCATTATTCCTTGATGTGCTGCCATCACTGCAAAAGTTAGTCATGCAACTGAGTGCATTGGTCTGCTAAAATGTATATTATATATATATATATATGCGAAAGCCTGCAGCTTGCATTTGTCTTCCATCTCAGGAAGAAAATGAACTTTGTTCATTTTCATTTATTCATTTGGTAATGCAAATATAACTCTATGAGTTGTCCAATACAGAGGCTGGATTAAAAGTAACCTCCTCTTAAAACTTCGGTTTTTCAGTCTGCACATTGTAGATATCCTCTGTTTTAAATATGCTGCTTTTCTTCCTATGATCAATTGATTGGGAACTGCCTTTGACTGAATGGAATTGGGCTTGTGCATTGAAGACCTGTGAACTCCAACCTGAGTATTTTTCCTTCCATTTCACCCCTTTCATTATTTTCTAAATGCTGTTCTGAAAGCAATTCTCAAACCAAATTGGAGAAATAGGGATGGAGGAAACAGCGTACTTCAAAAATAGTGATTTTTGAGCAAATGAAGCCCCTCCCTCCCTTTACATGAATCTTTTTTTGTTTGTGTCTCTAGTTTTGTATTACTGGCTTGGTTGTGATAATTACAGAAACTAAAACGATACGTCCTAAAATCTTTTGCAAAGGATACCGTGATATGAGTTTTGGACCAGGCAACTTTTGTCATATTGCAAAAGATACCCCTAGAAACCTGTTCAGGATTTTGCAACGCACTGGCCAAACACCTGCACTGCCAGCCAGATTTTTCTCAGCAGTTTCTCCTTTCTGACATTCCTGTACCTATTTTCAGTTACATGCTGTCAGCTTCCAAGTTTGCATACAGAAATTGGTATAAAATTTAGTTTACCGTAGTGAAGAGCAGTAGTGGAATGATCTTATATGGATGTGATGCACTTGTTTTTCATGTGTTCATTACAATCAGTGCATCAATATATACACAACTGTTCTGGGGCAAAGGGCAGTATTACATTTTGGGTAGCATGCCTGGGGATAGATTTGCAAAAAATAAGTGGGATCAGGCCAAAAATTGAATGTGATTTAATTTTATCTAAATTTTATTCATTTCAAAATGTGTATTTTGTAAGTCTCCC